AAAGATATTATTAAAAAAAAGTGGTAGCTCTGCTCTTTGCTTTTTCCTCCTGTCAGAATGTTCCTTGCCAAATCATGGGCATCACAATACAACTGATTAGCCTCTAGTTCTGTCCTTCCTTTTCTTTCTGCTGCTCTACAGCAGGATTACAGTAGTAGGGCTGCAACCAACTAATCGATCAATCGATAATAATCGATAATGATAATAATTGTCATTAGTTAGCAGGAGGGCACAGCAAGCAGTGGGCAGGTGTAATTGCCAGCCTGCTATTGGCTATTGCAATTTAAATTGGCCAATAGCAGGCTGGCTATTTTACCCATCCACTACCTGCTGTATTTACATTCAGCTGCTGTCTGCAGAAAAGCTATTCAAGCGCTATGTGCTCACAATAGAATTAAAAAAATAAAAATTTAAAAGGTGGGAAAAAAGTCCTTTTCAGTTTCGACCTGACAAATTCTGGTGCGGGAGGTGCGTTGCAATGCCATTCATTTCAATGGCACCCCAAACGTGCCTCCCACCCACAGTGTGATCGGCCACACTGGAACGCACGGTAACGCAATGCCGTGCTTTCCAGTGCAGTGCGATTCCAAAAAATTGTGCATGCAGTTTTATTCTGAAGTAAACTTTGTAACACTGAATTTGTGTATTATATTTTGAATTAAGGAAGGTATTTATTTCTTTTTTTATCCGATTATTTGAAAAAATGATTGGCCAACTAATCGATTATGAAAATAATCATTAGCTGCAGCCCTATACAGGAGACTAATGTCAAGACAAAATCATATACATTGGGTAGCTTCATTTGAATATTAATTTCTGAATTTTTAAATGAACGTATAACTGCATTCATTTTTTTTTCATATCTGCCTAGAGTTCAGCTGAAGAATTAGCACTTAGTCTGCAAACATTTTGCATCTGATTCTATAGAAATTCAGTTATCTGTGTAAGAGGAACATAGAATGATTTCCTAACATGATAAATATCAACATTCAAACGGAAAAATGTTTCTCAGCAGACAGTTGACAAAGAGAGACGTTATCAGTGTAAAAGATTGCAGTGATGGACAGTATGATTGCTGTGATATCTTCAGAAAGTCTTCTACATCACATAACACATACAAATGGGGCGAGAAATGATTTCCAGGAAAATGATTCCATTTTAGGATAGCAATAGTTTGTTTGTCTTCATAGTTTTTGTGATCACCTACATTTCATCGCAGCTTCCCCAGATTGACAACTGTGCACACAGAAACCATAACCACCTACACTTTTTGCTGCCTGGGCAGAGGAGGGGTGTTGCCTCTGCATCATCCCCCCGCCCAGCTGGGTGGGATGCTGACTACAGAGATTTTATTGCTTTAAATAAAGTCTACATGTGTATGTAGGAGTAAAGCTAAATTGCAGGAAAATGGCTACATACACAGATGAAGTACAAATGAGACCTTTTTACCTGCCAAAGTATTTGTAGCTCTGTCCATCCAGTCATGAGATTTACACAGCTTGGGCACATAGCGCATCCCTCCCCAGCAAGAGAAGGGGTCATTCACTGCTGCAGTTTCACATTCACTTAGAGGTCTTGTCCCTCCCTTAGCCTGTGACTACAGTAGATATAGGAATTGAAGTGTCACACCAGATTAAAGGGTCTAGACTAACATCTGAGGTCCTTGAAAGCTAACATGTGAACCCAGTTGGGCAGTACCCTCCAAGGCTTACATTGGACGGTAACTTGGTTGCATTTGCATTATAGCTGATAGGACCTGCATTATAGCTGTACCCCAAGGACTGACGTTGTATTCCTCCACCAATGTGATACCTGTTGTCATACACCATGTGTTATGTTGTATATGTATGACCTGGTTGTTTCAGGCATCAGTTGCTATTGTACCATGTCTGTGACTACTTGTACTGTAAACCTTAATAAACATCTATTTGAGAGAAAAGAGTCTAGACTTTATTCTAATAGAGTCTGGGGACTTTCAAATAGAGGAGCCAACGTGTTTCTCATGAGAAAAATTGTGAGAGAATGTGGACTATAATCCCTGCAGTTAGAAAGTTGTATTGAGTTGTGACGGGCGTACTGTAGTTGTGTTGGGTGTTTTTGCACATTTTTGCATTTAAAAACACACGTTTCTGCCTGCATGGAGATAACCATTGGAACCGACACTGTGCAACATCCATCTGAAGATAGCTCCTGCATATTTTTGTGCAACAGGCATTTTTGTACATGCGATACAACGCTAAGGTGTGAACAGTTGCCACTGACTCGTACTGAAATGTGTGTTTTGTGCGTTTTCATGTGGATAGATCCATGCGCAAAAACTCTCAGGTGTGAACTATACCTTAGACAAGAGCCAGTTACACTTCCAGCTTATCTTTCGCATGTGGGAGGAAACTTCACACAAGGAAGCACATGCAAACTCCATGTAGATAGTGTTCAGTCAAAACATGGACTCAATTCTAGGACCCCAGTGCTGCCAGGCAGAATCATTAACCACTGAGCCACTGTGTAATTACATTACCCTTCGTGACCTTGCCAACCAAGGATACAGTGGAGATCTTCTGGAGTGTAGCAGCTGCCTACCTGTCAGCCACATCACCCATATTCATATCACTTAACTAATGTTGTATGAGAAATGCCAAGAGAATAACCACAATGGTTTAGCGCTTTCTTTCCATATTTCTAAATATCAGTCTGCTGGACATTGAAAATAGAAGCAACACACTGCTTTCTATCAGGTGAGCATTGCAGCACATCTGATTGGCTCTTTGTGCTGCTTCATCCTCCCCCCTCTCTGAGTTCGCCTGTAGAGACTGTATAGAACAATGTCACAAGTGACACTTTTTATTAAGTTCCACGAGCACAGCTTAGTGCTAGGCGGTTGTACCGTGTCACATCCTGCTGTGCGGAAAAAAAGTACTGTGCGTGCAGTACTTTTTTTCAGCGCACACCATCCCCTCCATGGTGGTGTGAACTGTTCCCATCTGTGACAAGACAAATTGCCTGGTCTTGGCAATTTGTCTTGCCAATGTGTTTGGTGTGACTGGGACCATACACTACAATATTTAAGTGTTTTAGGAATAAAAATCCACTTTAGAAATATGAACTCTGTGTTACATGGGTCAGAGACTTCCCATTCAAGGAAATTCAATATTTTTTTTACTATATCCTAATTTGTGTGCATTCAGAGGTAATGAAGAGGCAGATGGCAGCAGATCTATTGTTAGGCTATAAAGCAGCAAGTGACATTTCATTCAGATGTGGATCTATACATTGACAGCTGCCTAAAACAACAGAACCAGGAGGACTCAAATTCAGCAAATGTATTGCTCAGCTCAATGACAAAGAGTGTATTGTAGATCAGCGTTTTTCAAACTTTTTTTTTCAGTTCTGGCACCTTTTAAAAATATGCAAAATCTTACCCCCAGTCTAAAATTTTCTGTGGTTACCCCCAAAATCTATGCCAGACCCTTAATCTACACAGGGTTCTGGTATGAATTTCAAGGGGGGGCGACATGCAGTTCTCCACATTAGAACCACCCCTTCACATCGGGGTCCCCACTCCGCACTTTACATCAGGAGTCCCCCTTCACATCAGAGTTCCCCCTTTACATCAAAACCACCCCTTCACATCAGAACCCCCCTTCACATTAGAGTCCCCAGTCCACCCTTCACATCAGGAGTCCCCCTTTACATCAAAATCACCCCTTCACATCAGAACTCCCCCTTCACATCAGAACCCCCCATTCACATCAGAGTTCCTCCTTCACATCAGAACCTTCCTTCACATTAGAGTCCCCAGTCCACCCTTCACATCAGGAGTCCCCCTTTACATCAAAATCACCCCTTCACATCAGAACTCCCCCTTCACATCAGAACCCCCCATTCACATCAGAGTTCCTCCTTCACATCAGAACCTTCCTTCACATTAGAGTCCCCAGTCCACCCTTCACATCAGGAGTCCCCCTTTACATCAAAATCACCCCTTCACATCAGAACTCCCCCTTCACATCAGAACCCCCCATTCACATCAGAGTTCCTCCTTCACATCAGAACCTTCCTTCTAGAGTTACTCATTCACATCAGAACCCCCCCCATTCACATCAGAGCCCCCAGTCCCCCCTTCACATCAGAACCTCCCATTCATATCAGAGTTCCTCACACAGGGACACAGAAAACAAAAACAAAAAGGCAACAGGGGATTTGAAGCTGAACTTTGTGTACAAAGACTTCTATATAAATATACTTCTTAATGGGATATAAATCCACTTTGTGTGCACCAAATGCCTTTGGGAACCCTTGTAAATGTAGCAGTGACATCACCACTTTGCTGCACATAATCTGTGCAGAGAGCAGAGCTGTGGGAGGGACCAAGCAGGCTCCACCTACTACAAACAGCTACAGAAAAGTACAGAGGGGCGGATTGAAGACCAGTCACCTTGAACAAGGAGAGAGAGAAGCAGTGACCAGTCTTTATGACAGGAAGCTCCTGTACAGAAGCAAAGTTTCACACTGGATCACTGCACAGATCTGGGAAAAATACACAAAGTACAACAAGATTGAAGTAAGAATCTACATTCCTCTTGTATTTAGACAATTACCTCCCGATCTACAGTCTCATTGTCACAGGTCGGCTAGAACTATGAGGTGAGTGGAAATCACTCATCTCATAGTTCTCCTTTAACCGGGTATTCCTCTTAAAGTATTCTCTAATCTCTCTACAACTGAATGCAAAATACTTTAACATAACAAAGCCATTTTAGAGTACAATTGATAACCATCGAACACCAAGGAAAAATTCTAGGGGCAGATCTTAGAGCTAGGGATGACCATGGAACAGTTGTCAAATCTAGTATAAGCATAGACTTTGGTGTCACTCTGTCATTGTCACACAGAGCAGGGTTGTGTGAATGTGACAGAGCACAAAGATTCCCCAAACCCTCCCATCAGCTCCAAATAAGGAGCACAGTCCAAATCTCAGAGAGTTCAGATGGGGGAGAGCAGGTGAAGAGGAGGGGGATTCCACTTCACATCATTCAGTCATTTATCACAGAGACACTATGTCACACTGAAGGAGAGACGCCTGTGATGAGCTGCACTGGTGAGTGACTTTACTTCTTTCCTTGACGTTTATGTTTAGAGGAAATGCTTCAATCACCTGCAATTTCCACATTCTGCTACAAAATAATAATAACATTTTTAGTGGACCTGTCAAGGACCTCAGCTGGCCATAATCGGGCAGTTAGCTAAACAGTATCATAGTCATATGGGTCACCTCTCACCTGAACCCATCCAATTTTTTACTTCTGACTCAGGTACATTTTTGGTGTACGTGAGAGATTGTGGTGAAAATGTAGTTTGGCTTTCTTTAGAGAAAAAGAAAATGAATATTTGATTACAAAAATGTACCAGAATTCTTTGACGTTCTCCTAACAAAGCTAATGATTTGCTAGCAAATGCTTGATTTCTGTTGCTCATTCTCCTGCACCCCAGGAATTTAATACTATTCCTTTTTAAACTAGTTGTAGTCTTGGTGAATACTGAGGGGCAAATGGTCTGTTTTTACAGCCAGTAGGCATCAGAGGACAGGTATGATTTCACTGCTGAATAAATCTTTATCACAAAATATATTTTTTTCAAAAACATTTATGCTTGGATTGTTTATGTGTTTATGTTGATGCGTGAGGAGGAGGGACAGCACCTCCATTTTTGGTTTATACAGGGAGAATAGAATAGTGATCAGCTAGGGAATTTCAACTGGACCAATAGTTTCTCCTTTGGGGTTAATCTGTCACCCTAAGACCCAGGAGGTTCAAATGCCCATTGATGTCTAATTATTCCCACCAGCTATCATTCCCAGCCAGATGAGGCAGAATTAAACCTATAGGCACCTTGCCCCTCTCTCTGGCTTTCTCAAAAAAAAAGCAAAGTATAGTCATCCATAGCCACCAGTCAACAATCATCTTCCATTGTTTCAAAGGCTGTAAACTCATAAAAGATTAAATCTTATTGGTTACTATGAGCTATGGCAAAATATGCATCATCACTGCTCTTGGCACTGCATTACAAGAGCAACTTATTACATTTTATAAGGTTAAGTGGCACTACAGTACAAGAGCAGCTTATTACATTATACAAGGCTAAGTGCAGTACTTCACAGCACCTCAATTAGAGGGTTTTTATCTTGTATTCCATTAGACCAATTTTTTGTTATTTTTTTATTTAATGGTTATTGCATTGTACTGCATATGCATTTTCAAAGTGTCTAATATGGTAATTAGCACAAGCCTTTATAACATGCCTGCTATGGTTTGTTTTGTAAAGGGTTTATTACATACTAAAATGTAAACCATACCTTGATTTTCTTTATTTAAGCAAAAATAACCCTTAGATCTGTCAAAGGTGGCCCTATGCAACACATAGCATTGGTTGAGAAATGTTGGGCTATTAGTGGCCATACATGGACAGGTGTCTCCCCAAAAACACCAGGCTTTTCCTCAAAAAAGTTGCTCTCTCCCCTTTCCCGGGAAATCCTGCAACCTTCTTCTTGATACATGTGATTGGTGTTGGGGTCACACACAATAAAGTGTTTCTCCCTTTTCTTCAGGAACAACAGACTCAGTAATTTTCTATAAATCCAAAAGTTACTTTATAATACAATTACATGGTTCAGTTGTCATAAGTAATGCTCAAATGGATCCCATTGTTTGTCTTTATATGGCACGCTTGCAATCTGAGTTATTGGATAAGTCAATGACTATGGTCAATATAAGAAAAAGGTTCTGCACTTTATTTTACTGTATATTGTTAGTGGTTACCCAGGAATGAGCAGTTGCTGATTACAGTGAGATCTCTCACCAGGGGGTCATTTACATTTGTGAGATGCTAGTTAGAATGGGGACTGCTGAGAAGAGACTACAGTCAGGGTGAACTGTCTGAACACAGCTGTTGTGACATGTAGAGAAGTGTGCTGAGTTAGTAAAAGACAAAAATATTCATCATTATCTTAAAGTGACACCAAAGTCAGGAGTTAAAGGAGAACTATGACATGAGTGATTTCCACTCACGTCATAGTTCTAAGCCGACCTGTGACAATGAGACTGTCACAGGTCGGCTCAGTAGATCGGGAGGTGAGGGAAAACATACCGGGTCCCCTCACCTATCGATCCTGTCACGGCTCTCTGCCGTGACAGGGGGAGGGGCTGGATTCCCCTCTCCCCGCTCCGATCTGCCAGCGCTGACTGGCGGAACGGACGGGGGAGGGGGCGGGTACAGCTGGCTCTGCCTCTAGATAGGCAGAGCCAGCTGTCACTCACACAGCTGGGCGGATCCCGTCATCTAAGTCGGGATCCGCTCCAGGTGCGGCGTCTCAGTATACCGCGAGCTGTAGCTCGCGGTATACGGAGCCTAGGGTGACGGGAGGACGTTAGTTTGTGTCCTCCTGTTACCCCAAGGAGAACTATGGGGAAAAACACTGACCCCATAGTTCTCCTTTAAATCTAAAATTGCATTCAAGTACCCTAACTATTAAAAAAAACGTATCTTATTTATGTATCACTTGGTTGTAGATCCTCAAATCATCTCTGAATTGGTGTTGACACTGTCCTTCCTTTTGGGGGGTGGCTACTTTTCTACCCCGCGGTCCCTGTGTGTGTAAAGTATCAACCACTCCAAGCTCACTCCTGTGATAGGCTACAATCTCAATAAAAACTGAGTAAACTAGATGGAAAATTATAGTCTGTCACAGGAGCGAGCTTGGAGCGGTGGTTACTTCACAGTACACACAGGGACCATGGAGAACAAAAGTAGCCACCCTCCAGAAGGAAGGACAGTATCAGCACCAATTCAGAGATGATTGGAGGATCTACAGCCGAGTGATAAACAAATAAGATACATACTTATTAATAGTTAAGGTACTTGAATGTATTTATAAGATTAAACTCCAGAGTTTAGTGTCACTTCAATTCTGTAATCTATACAGACACCCATAATAGGGTTAGTAATTTTCCAAATCAAGTTGCTGATAATCAACACACAACACAAGAAAACCCTTTCTTCCAGATCAACATATACTTTTATCTTCTTGATTAGGATGGAAGATGTTATTGCCTGCCAATTGCATCTATTTGCCGGTCATCATGTAGGGTTGCCATTCATCCAGAAATTTACAGACACTGTGTAAAAAAATTTGTCCATATAATATGTACAAATGTGGCTCTTTTCTCTGTTTTAGGAATCAGCCAAATAAAATATTTGACTAATCTACTACTTTTAAGATTTAAATTTGATTTGGTGACAGCATTCATAAATACAGGTATATGTTCTCTAAAATGTGACACCATGATGCTTGATAATTGCTTTTTTGTTAGTTATTTGTTTCAATATAACATCATATTTACAACAATCAATAAAACACGACAACAAAAAGTAGACAATGCTTCTATTTTGGCCAAGTAACAGCTATTAAAGTAGTATTAAACGCTCAACGCATTTTAGGGGCCATTTAGATAATTAGCAATGCAACGCACCTGCGCACTGTAACACCTAACAGGTGCATTGCATGGTACCGTTGCGTTAATCTCATGGAACCGTGTGATTAATGCTTGGTACTGCACAATGAACCTACTGCACTGTAACACACGTTAGGTGAATTGCACAGTACAATGAGTTAATTATGCTTGAACAGTGAGATTAATGCAGGCCCCTAAACAGGATATCAGGGCCAGTGCTCAAGGGGCCAGCTGATTTGGAAGTAAACTGAAACGTTTAAACATTAGGGAGCGTATACATTGTAAGTGATTTCAACAGCATTTAAAATAGCTTGAAAACCTTTTGAACCTTAATATCACTTTAAGGTGATTTATCATTAAAAACTTTGAACTGACATTTTTCAGATAGCTGAAGAAAAAAAAACCATATATTTTGGGTCGTCAGCTTAAACTTCACTCATACTGTTAATAAACTCATAATAGAGGTCTGCACATTGATCCAGTTTTGTTTTATTTTTTTTTGCATTCAGATATATTAAACGTTCCTTAAAAATGCTACTATAGCCTAGTCTGCTGCCACCGTGCTCTTTCTTACTCTATGTAAGAATGTACTTTTCTATATTTCATGTACATTTACATCTTGCATGGAAAAGAACATGACAGTGTTTTACAAGAAAAACCTCAAATCTGGTTAGCCCTCTACATTTTGTAAGGCAAGTCAATTATGTGAAACTTGGACTCAGCATGTGGAAATCATACCCCGTCTGCAGGAAAGCGTCACATGTCCTTTTCTTGTAAATATATTCTGTAAATATAACTGTGACTACAACACATAGCAGAGGACATGGGGACAGGGGGACAGGGGTCACCAAAAGAATAATAGCTCTTCTATTGCAGAAAACATCTCATTTTATTTGAGCCTGTCAAAATTGCTTTAAAATTATGCCTGGTGACCCTGCCATGAAGAACCTTGTTCAGGCACTTCCTATTTATAGGATGACTCTATACCTCTGTCCAAATTGCACTGGCATTGTCACCGTGTCACATGCACTTCTGCTGGAAACACTCAATGGGCAAAGTGGGGTTACCATCAGGTTTGAGCAATCATTGATATCTATATAAAAACACAAAATAAACACATCCATTGCCCTTTTAAAAATGTATGAATTATTATTTATTCATCACAGATATATTTACTTATAAATAACAAACATTAAAAAAAGTTGCACTCATACTTTTGCATTGGACAGATCGAATAGTACATACAACTAAGAAACAAAACCCTATGCAAGTGTATCATGTACAATCACATTAATTGCACTGTGGTATCAGCACCGCAAGGATATCCATCAGGTTGAGATTGCTGCAGCTTGAGCACAGTAATCTGCATTTATATTTGATGTATTGCTGTAATAAGCTTGACTTAGAAACTGCAACATATTGCTGAAATGTTGCAAATGGTGACAGTTCACTTTCTGGCATAGTCATAGCACCTGCACATGAAGAATCAAGCAGAAGCATGATAAATAGGTGACCGCCAGCCTGCTTACATTTCCTGCACCAGAATTCGGGTGCTTATATAATAATAAATTCCCCCCCAATGGTGTTGTGACTCTGTGAAAGGGCAGTAATCAACATCAACTAATCTACCTTCATCTTTTACAGCCTGATATATAAAAAGTTGCTGTGGGCTACTGTACTCTGTGCATCCCAGTTGCACTCTGCACTGTCCAATCCAGTAAACCTGATACTTTTATATATTTTCAACACAGATTTTTTGTAGATTATTCACCCAACGTGTTAAAATGAGACCACCATAAGGGTAAACAACAAACTGACTAGGAATTCACTTTAGGGCACAGGTTGCTTCCGGCCCACCAGTTGAACCTCTGCACTGTGTTTGCTCAGTGCTAGTTGTTAATTCGGAGGACCACACTCTTTGTGACTCCTGTCTTTACATGTTCTTGTAAAAAATGCAGCTGTTGTAGCTGTGAAAGAGACTTTTCCCATAGCAGGTCATGCGTCTGTGGGTGGACATTGGTCCGTTTGCTCACCCTAAGGAGCTTTTCTTTTATGTAGAACAAACTAAAAGCTGTGACACTGTGCTTTTATTACAAAAGTATACAGCTATTTACCTACCACCATACAAGTCAGCTTATGTTTGTACTATGTTTGCATTGATATTGGCCTAATGGTTTGCCACAAACAAACCTGACTGGAATGATGGTGCCGATCACTCATGTTTGGCTACAGCCAGACCTCCATGCTATTTAAGATTTAGGTGAAATTTGGCTGGCTTTTGTTAATTGTGAGATCAGTCCCACATAATAGAATCCTGCTTTTTCCAGTACTTGGTGGTTATTATCTGAAGGTAAACTTTTAAAAATACAGCTTAAAGTGACATTAAACTCAGGAATTAAATCTTAAAAATACATTCATGTACCTTTAGTAATTATTAACAATAATGCAACTTATTTGTGTATAACTCAGCTGTAGATCCTCAAATAATCTCTCAATTGGTACTGACACTGTCCTTCCTTCTGGAGGGTGGCTACTTTTATTCCCCATGGTCCCTGTGTGTGTTGTAAAGTAGCCACTGCTTCAAGCTTGCTCCTGTGATGGACTACAATCTCAACACAAATTAGGAAACTGAACGTGAGATTGTAGTTCATCTCTGGAGCGATCTTGGAGCGGTGACTACTTTACAACACTCACAGGGACCATGGGGAAGAAAAGTAGCCACCCTCCAGAAGGAAGGACTGTGTCAGCACCAATTCAGAGATGATTTGACGATCTTCAGCTGAGTGATACACAAACAAGATACATTTTTGTTAATAGTTAAGGTTCTTGAGTGCATTTTAAAGATTTAACTCCTGAGTTTAGTGTCACTATAATATATATATACATTTTTTGAAGAAATCGTAGTTAGATGTTGAGTGGCATGAATAGGATTATTATACTGTAGATCAGTGCTGGACAAATCCCAGGAGCCAGGAAGCCAATGCTCCTTAAAAATTATAACTGGCTCCTAACTTTTGAGGTTTTCTCTAGTTGTCAGTAGAGCTGGCTCCTAAAAAATCCTGCTTGCTCCTGTATTGAACAGACTGGCCCCTGAATACCATATTATTTGTTCACCCTTGCTGTAGATGGGTAGAAAGTGAATGGTCTGTTTCAGTGCAACAAACATCACTGCACCAAAAATTGCAAATAAACACATGTACAGATAAGTGTAAATGGGCCCATATTGAATTGAAAAATACAACTGACTGATAAATGAGCAAATAACAGACAAGAATAACAAATATTGCTTTCATTAGGGTACATTTGCAATACTATTGTTGGTGTTGCATTCAACATCCTTTGTGAACAGATGCCTTTGTATAGACATACCCAGTATTATTCAGGCTATGGAAAATAGGTGAGGGATTATGATGGCATTGTGCAAAAGCTTACCAATGGCCAAGAAGAAGAAAGTACTCATTAGTAGGTCCATCAACGGTGCATATTAACAGGACAGATTGGGGTTTATATATAAGTCTAACCAGAATATGGACCTGGTCAGAGAAACTTTGCACTATTAGTTTTATGTCATTAGTACTTTTACTTCTCACACCAGAATGGACCATATACAGTTTTTTTTGTCCAGGTATTATTTAGGAAAAGCTTAATTAGCATAGACAATGTCTCCTGAGAGCAATCAATAGCTCAGTATTTTTGGACTTGGTGCAGTCACAGCAGGGTAATGTACCATGGCTGGATGTACAGCTGTGCATGAGTTGTGCTGTCCCGTAGGAAAGATCACCTTTTGTATTTAGTCAGTACATCTGTGTCATTCCTAAAAAATCAATAAACACATTTTCTTTTCTAAACTCATTATACTCACACAGTTTACTGTTTTCAATACATACTTTGGTCAGGTTGTGTACAATGCTTCACCACTTCTTTATTTCTGGAAGACGTTTTGTAATATGATGTAAACAATTCGTAGTATGTGTCTGCAGTGTGATTCTGCTTCCCAAGCTAGTCCCACCTAGATCAATACAAAAATTACATATTTTCTGTTGGTTTTGGAAATAATTTTTGTTGCTATAACCCCACATTTGTATTTTTGTAATTTGTAAATGTGATCTTTTCAATAACTCTTTTGGCATTTTTTCTGTACTCTATAAAAGATCAACATTTTTAAATATAACACACACTAAACCCCATTGAATGTAGGAAAAAAAATCTTCCAAACTAGTCAATAACTTTTCTCTTGATTGCACCTCAAGAACTCCGCTCCTCCAGCCGCACATGCTCATCTTCCCTTTGCACTCCCACAGCTCTATTCTGGGGGGAAAAAACCTGGTACCCCTGGGTGTGGGGATTATGTGACTCATTCTCCTTCCTCTCATGTGACAACACTGATTCCTAATGATTGGCTGCATAAGCATCCCCCATTGTTACCTAGGGGCTAGGAGAGAGTCCTCAGCCCTGTATAAGTAGGGAAGGGAAGTATAAACAGCATGGAGTTTAAATGAACCTGTCTCTTTACCATTCTTATATAGCTCTGATGGTTCTAAGGTTGTTTACACTTAGGAAGGGAAACAAAACTTAACTGCATACATCAAAGTAAAAGGAGATATTTAGTAGTAATGTTGGAGGGCTACAGAATAATGTTCCAGATGGTTTTTTTTTTCCAAAATATTTTATTTAGGTTTAAACAAGGTCACCATGTGACCGTAAGAATACAGTACATTACACGTATTTGTTCTCTTTTTTTTTTTTTTTGTGCTTCTCATGGTTCGTTCATCAATCATCCAGAAGTATAACATGCAGTATAACATGACATTGTGCACAATAACTTGCTCATATATATGGAGATATAGTTCCAGATGGTTTTAAAGACATTATCACTTTGACCATTCAAGGTCAAGGTTACAACATCTTCTGACAGCCTTCCTCCCTAGCATTCTATATTCATGCTTCCATGCAGCCTCCCAACTCCCCTCAAAACAGAGTGGGATTTCAGGATATGGTGGAGTATGTGACCTTCCTTGTGTAACAGTGATTGTCCCTGAGCAGCCTGAACACTGTCTCGTGGAGGGTCAGTGACATCACTCACATGAGTAAGCTCCACTAATCGACACTGGAGCTTACCCAGGGTGGGCTCGTGCAGCAAGGAGGTGGCAAAGGAGTGCAGATAGGTAAGCATAACTTGTTGAGCAGATGGGCTATAAAGAGACACTGCCACTGTGGCCCAAATGGCCAAAGGTGTCTCTTTAAGTTATCCAAGGTAAAATATTTAGCGTTTTTCTTTTATTGCTATACCCTTCACCTTTTTTTTTTAACTGTTGTAATGTTCGTTTGCAGGTTAATAATGGATGTTCTTAAGGATTTACCAACTCATTTAGCCTCAACAACATGGACCCTGCAGACTGAAGAAACAACTATGGAGACAAATATGTCTACTGCACCCCCTTTCAATGGATGCCATATCCAAGATGGAGTACTATCCTTGATGCTACCTGTGGTGTATTCATTTGTTTGTGGTCTAAGCTTCATGAGCAACATACTGGCTCTCTTCGTCTTCTGGACAAATTGCCAAAAATGTACATCAATGGTAATATACATGAGGAACCTTGCCATAGCTGACCTCCTCCTTGCCCTCTGCTTGCCCTTTCGCATTGCCTATCAGAACAATAATGGGCCTTTGCTACTGTGCCAAATCATAGGTGCCTTTTTCTACTTGAACATGTATGCCAGTATTATGTTCCTGAGTCTTATCAGTATGGATCGTTACTTAAAAATAATCCGTCCTTTGCAACAATACAAAATCCACAGTGTGTCTTGGAGCAGTCGAGCCGCTCATGTTGTCTGGGTGATCAATGTGGTATGCATAGCACCGTTCCTGTTTGAAAACAAAACTGATGAACCTTGCAGTCAAAAGTGCTTCCACTTCAAGAAGAAAGGGACTGTGTCAGCTGCAATCAACTTATCGGCCGTAATTGCTTTCTTTGTTCTTCTGTTTCTTTTTGTCTATTTTTATGCAAAAATCTCAGCAAAGCTCCACCAAGCTTCCTTGGGCAGGAACCAGCCACAGACTAAAAGGAACAGCAACCGGGCCATGAAAAAGTCTTTTATTGTCTTAATTATATTTATTGTGTGTTTTGTTCCTTATCACTTGGTACGTGTGCCCTATATCCTGGCCCAGATTGATACTATTCCCAGCTTGGCCTGGAAACAGACATTGCATATCACAAATGAATTGGTGTTGTGTTTGTCCACACTCAACAGCTGCCTGGATCCTGTGATTTATTTCTTCTTGTCGGACAGCTTCAAAAGGGCTGTAATTTGCACCATTCAGGGAAAGCTTAAACTCATTATGAACAATCAGGACAGATCATCCTACTGCAACAGATCTGTTACTGATATGTAAGGCCGGGCTTTGCTTCTGTGTTTACAGTCTCCCCTTACTGAAGCACCTGTTTCTGCTGCGGTGCATGGTGGCATACAGGGCATCAGTGTTCTTTACAGAATGAGAAGGAGTCAACCTTTCCAGTTGTCATAATACAGTATTTTACCCATACATGTTCAAGATAATTACATTTTCATTGCCTAATAGGAGTGCGTAACATGAACATTAAAAGTCCTGTTTGATTATGCCTATGACCCATCCTTGTTTGGGTAGAGGTTTTCCAAGGTGTACTGTAAAACTATTGTCCTACCATCTCTCCTTAATTCACTATTGCCAGCAGACCCCATATCGGGAGCTTTCTTTCCCCAAACCTTGGTCATGAGTGTATCTGGGTATTAATTGGAGCTAAAAATAAGAAAATGTACAGGAATAAAAATCCCAATTCAAGGTTCTCCCTTACCAATGACTACTGCCTCCTTCCACCTTGAAGGACCCCAGGTAGTATTTTTTGTTTTTTTATACTTCTTTTCCATGAAGTCTTCAAACTGGTCATGTAATCATTACAATATGAGTGCAGGGTTTCCTGGTAATACCCCCCTAAAAAGATGGGTCTGTGAAACTATACATAACCCAGTATGTCCTCATTTTTTCAGGTTGAATGATGCTGGACATCAGTCAACCTGGAAGATTAAGGACATCTGGTGGTCAAAAGGGATCCCTGTGGGGGGACAGCATTAGAGATGAGGTGAATATTGCTGCTTGTTTTTTTTTTTATAACTGCTGGGGGACATCAGAATATCCTGGACTTGGCCTTTGAACTTGTTTTTTTTTAGCCAATATCTTTGTAACTATAGACTAAAACAATGCCATGAAATGATGGCATGAGAGTCTGCAGAATTTCAGGAAATTGACCATTTGTTTCTTATTATATCCATTACCTGCAGCATAACTTATTTTATATAGAAGTATACGAACAGACCGCAGTATCCAGACCATTCCAATACTGCAGACTTTATTGAAATTCACAGCAAATCCAGTATATCAGTGAATAAAGTGTATAAAGCAACAAATGCCAGCACTGCACACCCCCAACCAACTACATCCTCTCACATGTTTCACACGCAGGCTTATTCATAGAGGTAACAAATACAGACCAGTATCTCACTTAAATGTGTTAAAAAAATGTGTTAAAAAAATGTGCGGGCTATTGTATATAGAGTCATGGGGATGTGTGGCAAAAGATTTGTTTATAATTATTAATTTGTGACAAGATTATCATCATTAATACTTTGTTTCAAAGGTTGTGCAGTGAATATGTTCCATTTACATAAGTACCAACACATCAACAAAACATGCATGAACTTTTTGTTTGGGTAGAATAAAATCAATTCATAACCTTTCCCCTCATGTGTGAAGTAGAAAAGCAGTATCCTGCATCAAAAAGACTCTACAAACTCTCCACGGTGTAACATAGGTTAGCTCATAAGCAACAGTGTAACTCCTATGTGACAGTGTATTTTGAATGTTGCATTGGCAGATATTACATTGATAGCATGATATTGGCTTATTTAATTTAGTAGCATAGAGCACAATAGTGTTGTGAAGTGTGCGTAATTAGGGCCCATGTAGACCTTGGCGTCCTAATGCATTGCGTTAATACACATGCATTAACGTGTGTTGCCTTAAGGCAGCCCAATCAAATGAATGACTTAAAAGTGAACTACGGGTTAAGTGTTTTTCCTCATAGTTCTCTTTAGGGTCACGGGAGGACATATACTAACCTCCTCCCATGACCCAAAGCTCAGTATATTGTGGGCTATTGCCCACGATATACTGAGAGCGCCGCAGCAGGGATGGATCCTGACAATAGATGAGGTGAATATTGCTGCTTGTTTTTTTTTTTATAACTGCTGGGGGACATCAGAATATCCTGGACTTGGCCTTTGAACTTGTTTTTTTTTAGCCAATATCTTTGTAACTATAGACTAAAACAATGCCATGAAATGATGGCATGAGAGTCTGCAGAATTTCAGGAAATTGACCATTTGTTTCTTATTATATCCATTACCTGCAGCATAACTTATTTTATATAGAAGTATACGAACAGACCGCAGTATCCAGACCATTCCAATACTGCAGACTTTATTGAAATTCACAGCAAATCCAGTATATCAGTGAATAAAGTGTATAAAGCAACAAATGCCAGCACTGCACACCCCCAACCAACTACATCCTCTCACATGTTTCACACGCAGGCTTATTCATAGAGGTAACAAATACAGACCAGTATCTCACTTAAATGTGTTAAAAAAATGTGTTAAAAAAATGTGCGGGCTATTGTATATAGAGTCATGGGGATGTGTGGCAAAAGATTTGTTTATAATTATTAATTTGTGACAAGATTATCATCATTAATACTTTGTTTCAAAGGTTGTGCAGTGAATATGTTCCATTTACATAAGTACCAACACATCAACAAAACATGCATGAACTTTTTGTTTGGGTAGAATAAAATCAATTCATAACCTTTCCCCTCATGTGTGAAGTAGAAAAGCAGTATCCTGCATCAAAAAGACTCTACAAACTCTCCACGGTGTAACATAGGTTAGCTCATAAGCAACAGTGTAACTCCTATGTGACAGTGTATTTTGAATGTTGCATTGGCAGATATTACATTGATAGCATGATATTGGCTTATTTAATTTAGTAGCATAGAGCACAATAGTGTTGTGAAGTGTGCGTAATTAGGGCCCATGTAGACCTTGGCGTCCTAATGCATTGCGTTAATACACATGCATTAACGTGTGTTGCCTTAAGGCAGCCCAATCAAATGAATGACTTAAAAGTGAACTACGGGTTAAGTGTTTTTCCTCATAGTTCTCTTTAGGGTCACGGGAGGACATATACTAACCTCCTCCCATGACCCAAAGCTCAGTATATTGTGGGCTATTGCCCACGATATACTGAGAGCGCCGCAGCAGGGATGGATCCTGACAATACTGTTGAGATCCACCCAGCTGCGTGAGTGACAGCTGGCTCTGCCTATCTAGAGGCAGAGCCAGCTGTGCCCGCCCTCTCCCCTATTCGTTCCTTCACTTGCCGCTGGAGGATCGGAGAGGGGAGGGTGGAATCCCTGCAGGGAGCGGTGACTGCCAGTCACTGCTCCCTGCAGGGAGACGATCGGGAAGTGAGCGGATCGGTGCATGTTTCTGCTCACTTCCTGATCGATAGAGCCGACCTATCGGCAGCTTCTTTGTCATAGGTCGGCTCTAACTATAAGGATGAGTGTTAATCACTCACCTCATAGTTCTCCTTTAATGTTTTTTTTTTTAAAGGGCGCCAAACCAAAAGGTAAAAGAGTCCAAAAGTTCCTTTAACTGTTCACAATTTAATTAAACAAAAACAGCCAACGTGTTTCAGGAGCAACAACACTTCTCGTTCATCAAGTCTTAGAATTGGATAAGCATTTGAGCATAGAGATACTATAACCAAACTGATCTTTATATGATTTGATATAAGAATCTCATTTAGGGCTGTAGTAGTAATAGGCAGCAGCATCGATCAAATGAATAGGCCGATAATACACCAAATTAAAGAAAATGAATGCGACATTGTTAGCAATGCAGTGCTCTGCAACACATGGTAGCACTTTACCGTGCATTGTGGTGTGTTGCTTCACATGTTCATTAGAGCTGCATTTTCCTTGTTGCATTCAGGTGCCATTTAAAAAGTTAATGTGCATTAATACGTGTTGTAGTAATATACACGTTGTTGTGACACACCACATTGGAAAGGTATGAATGGGCGCTTAATTGGAATTCATCTCTAAAGTGGGCTGAATACAGTGAACTGAACTCCATACCTCCTAACTTTCTGGGATTACAAAAGGAAACCTTTAATCACCAAGTATATAGATAAAGGTCACACGATTGCCGCAGAGCTTGAAGAATTAAAAAACAAATGCCTATTTATGCCTGATGTGTTATACTGGCTTTTCAAAATGCCAAATGCAATTATATAAAGGTTGGATGAAAGGTTTAGTGTAGTATAATCCTATAATAGTTAGATAAAAACCAAAAAGAGGACAGCTGAGGAGAAAAAGATGGACATATGGATTTGGGTCCAAATGAGGGACAGTTAGTCGCAGTAGAACTCTGATTGCTATAGATACACTGCTTTATTGATGGGAATCTGCCATAAGAGTATAACGTCATTTACACTCCTTCAGCAATTGCAGCCAATATATTTCACTAATGACAGGTTCTCTTCCAAAAAAAAGCACTATATCGGAGAGGTGTCGTGACAGCAGTTTTTACCTGTAGCAGCAACACAGTTAAATGTTTAATGGTGATTCTTAGGCCTCTAAACTGAAGGAGAGTTGGCAGGTTGGAGCATCTTTAGTACAAAGTAGAAGGAAAGCTCTTCAAGTACTGGCTTTACTGACTCTGGAACTACATATTTAGTTGAAGCTTCTTACAAAATGCCATTTAATTTGACTTCCACTGAGTCTCTGCATAATTAAAGGGCTGTTATATAGTCCTAAAAATACAGTTTAAACCTGTGATTTTTGTCTCTAATATTTGTTATTTTGTATTTGTTTTGTATCTCACATTTGATTTTTTTTAATCAATAAAAAATTTACTAAAATAATGTGTGATCTTTTAAAGTTTCATACTACTCTTACAGCTTACAAAAGTGCAATTCTATATGTCACACATGCCGTAGATCTATATGTCAGCTGCTGGCAAATTATTATTTGTTTTGCTATCAAATTATAGTGAAGGTAAACATTTTTGCCAAAGGCCCACAACAGCTGTACACACTGGAGCTCAGTTTCCAATCTGATACAGACATCTGTCCTAGTTTTACTATATTCTAGCTTTTATAAATCAGTGGGGATCATTGAATGAATCAATGAAGGCTGAAAAAAATGAAACGCAAGCAAACAGAAGGATGCGGTGAAAATGTTGGACGTAAAGAAGATATACCATCATACATATATACACTGAGTGGCCAGATTATGACCACCCTATCAGTACTTCGTAGGGCCACGAGATGACTTCGTTGGGCCGCCTCGTGACTCCATGA